TGCTACCGAAATGGGGCCGCAGAATGATGAGAGCGTGCAGGCGGAAGGTACGCTCAGCGTTCCGCCAATCCACGTCAAGGCATATGTCGTATATGTTGACCTAGTTTGGCAGAATGAGGTGGCATTCAAGTTAACGCCTGAGACTATCGACGCCCTGGTGGAGCGACAGTCAGCTCAGACTGCCGCCTATATATTGGCCTGGCGAGGGAGTCAAGCTCAGCTGAATGTCCGGCAAAACAAATTCGTTCAGGCGATCAATAAGTTCACGTACCGGACCAACGCCATGAACCTGGAGGGTCTGGAGATGGATGGCACTGGAGAGCTACTCCATGAGCCCAGTGAGGCTGCTAAAGAGCAACTTCTTCGTCTTTACATGGCATCGATGCCGTCATCATCCATGGCACCAATGTTGAGCTCAGCGCTTTCATTGCCAGACGTGGTCACACCAATGGCGTCCAACCCTCTTTATTCGTCCGACTTTGTCAAATCCTGGAGTAATCAATCTTCAATTCTCCCCTCAAGTACATCAAGCTTCTTCAATCCCACACTTGGGGATACTCTGGATGTCGGCGCTACCAGATATCTCTCGATGGATTTTGGCAGCAGTCCAATGTCTATCCCCGTATGTTACGTGGGATCGGCCAGTTGCATATCCTCTCAGCTGCCAGCGGATCGTCAAATAAGGCACTGGGGGCGCTGCTTTCGCTGATAAAGTTGTTGACTCAACACGCCGCAACATGGATTCCGCCTCCATGCTTTGGGTTTCGTTCAGAGATTCGCGTGGTCGCAACTAGTATCGCAAGAGGGAAGTCATCGCCGGCTCTATTGCTTAGAGGTAACGGAGGCAAGTAGGAGGAGTTTTATCGCTTCGTGGGAGGTGGTAGTGTGGTGCCCTGGGTTTAATTTGTATGTTCCACGTTGTAGTTGATATTTCACGCATCACAAACCTTCTTTATTATCCACATCGTGGCAAAAGTTGAGCCATGAATCAGCGAATTGGGGATCATGGCAAAACAGCAAGCTAAACTGTCAGACTGTGATGACCGCGATGATAAATCCACCACGGGAAACAACGGAGGCTCCGACCTCGTAGACCGAAGGCGAGAAAATAAGGATGTTCGCGAGCGCGTGTAGTTCTTAGAATAACCAGGGAAGAAGCTTTAGCATTCGGGAATTCTGAATCAAGAGATGTCGTTTCCAGGGGTGTTGAACTTGGTTTTGGGTCACCTTGAAGCCGACGGCTTTCACTTAGGAACGACAGCCTAACCGATGGCTTCAAATCTGACTCTTCCACCGCTGCCAATGCATGGTAACGGAAGATCCAATGGCTAGCATTGAAATATCTTGACGGACGGCAAATACCGCTGTTTGAAGATGAAGCACGTTGAAGCGAGCTTAGCAGGGATGGCGGTACAGCTGATGTGAGACTGAGACTCACAGGGGGGGAATGGCCTTCGGTAGACTAGACATGCTTTTCGTCAGTGGGGTATATGTGACATTGGGTCCCTCAGATAACATTTTCCGGGCAACTTCGATTTGACAAGAATGATTGCGATGCTACCGTATCTGGGTAAGCAGGATAATGTACATTCTGTCAAATAGCCTGCCTTCTTCCTGATAGCACGAGAGTAATAGGCGGTCTGCCAAGGTTTGATTCTCCTAGGTAAGAACATGCAGATCTGCTAGGGCCCATTCCCTAAAGTGGTCCGAGGTAGGCAGTTCTCTTAATATTTGACCTTCGCTTCGCTAAAACGCTTGCGTCAGCTAGTCCTCTTACTGGTAGATCAATCCAAGCACTTTTTGGGCAGCAAGATTGGTATCCATGGTTACTCATGCGGGAGAATTACCACATGCCTCCTCATATTACGGGCTGTGGATTCGGCTATAAAAGTCGGCGTTCGTTTAATCCCTCTTGTCTGCACTACCTCAAATAAAAGGTCAACTTGTTCCCACCATTCAAGTCTATCCCAGAAACCTTTCAGAATATCTACCAGTTCTATTCCTCAATATGACCAGAAACAATAAATGCGCATCATCCACCACATCTCACCAAAAATCAGCCAGGGGAAGCCCTTCGCGTTCGGACCCTGCTGTATGTTGTTCCTTTTCTTCATGTGGGATTTTGGCTAAAAGTTTGGCTTAATGATAGCATTGCTCGTCAACCTCGGCCATCGGAAACGATAAACAGACAAGCTCTCAACGTATGTTTCATCCACCACGCAATGTGCCTTTGCGTATTTGAACGCCAAGTCTGATTTTTTTTTTTGTTCACAGTGAGCTCTAGCATTATCGACATCACCGATGGGGCTCTGGAGAAAGTTGACAACGCCAGCCATGGCTCCAGCTATACACATGTAGACGAGAGCTCGATGGTGATTAATGGTAACCTTGCGGATGGCCAGGGACGCGGCTCATTTCGAACGCATGCTGTTCATGGTGGATCTGTACGAAACGGAAGCAAACTTGTCAACGGCGATATGGATCGGGAAACCTTTCTTTCTGTATTCTGTAGAAAGGAATAGGATGATCTGAGTATTCAGGCTACCGATGAAGGTCACTTGGTTAGCAGGTGGTGCTTGGCAGTCAATGTCGTGACAAATTCTTCTCACTTTAAGTTTAGGAGAATCAGAAAAGCGTCCGCTATCAATGGCTTGAATTTTCCAGGAGGTAGGGCTCTAAATGTGGAGCATTTTAGGCGGAAGCTGTTTTCTCATTTTCGAGTTCGAGCGATGGGATAAGAGTGGTGCCTGCTACCTGCATATCTTATTTGGTAGCATCCGAGGCCGTTTGTGGTGCACTTTTTTGTTTGCTAGAAGTATATCCGGAATCCTGCCCAAATCTCTCAAAATAGTGTCGTAGAAAAGACATGAAGCAGTATCCATAGCATTGCCGGGTGTAGAAGCAAAGGCTGATTGACAGGGAATGGTGAATAGGTGCCTCTTGACGAGATGGAGGGTTGGGCTAGCTCAGATGCAAGGCGTATCAGCAATTGAAACTCACAAATCATGTATCTTCAAGGACTGACTCACTGCATTGGTTGTCCAGTAGACTTATCTAGCGCATGCATTCCCAGCAGATGGCTGCAAGCAATTCTCATTTCCCAACGACTAGTTTATGATTTATATAGCGGCATCGAAGGCTCCTAGTGGGGCGATGAACTGCCTCTCCCTTCCATGATTCAAGGGCCCATTGTTACTGCAAAACATCCGTTCGCTGCTGCTTTCATCGATATTCCGCGCGTAAATCGAGCTGTCTCGCCATTGAGGTGTGCAGTGTCGATACCAAAAGACAGTCCATAACAAGGCAAGCAGAGCCGTGATTGCGTCGTGAAGTACGAGGGTAGAAGGTATGCGGATGCGAGTCGTGCATGGTTGGAATACTAGTACAAGGTCTTAGCAGCTTCAAGGTAGTCTAATCGTGGGTTGCAATTGAGAATCAAACGAGGGTACGCCGTGGACTAGGCTTGCTGAAGATGTTTTGGCTCAGTATTTTGTTTGATTGATCAATCACCTCATCGCACTACTCATTTGTTTCATGCCTTTTGAAGAGTGATGGCGAGACCTGCGCCACAGAGACAGGCTGTTAGAAGCAGGGAGAGGCAACATGGGGCTTGGTCTGAATGGAAGGTTTAGATCTCCGTGTAAAGGAAACGACATCAGATCCTTGAAACAATAGTTTCATGACAGAATCCAGAGATTGGACGCCCTTTCTTGGTGATGTTGATTGACGCGGTGAGTGGTGCTGGGTGGTGGGAGGAGACGGACATGGCCTCGGACCCTAGCGGACCGTTGCTTTGCTGATCTCAGCCGGCCGTTGGAAGAAGGAAGCGTGTCTTGGTATGATTCCCCTTGAGCTCCTGTTATATTTAGCGCGAACAGTATGTTTAAGTAATTGAATTAAGGAGAAGTAGGATATTGGCCGCTCTACCAACCGCCTTTTTTTTTCTGCACGCCGAATCGAACAGCGCGCATTATTGTTAGATGGGTCCCAGGTAGCTTTATTAAAAGATCCGGCATCATAGAGCGCTGGCTCGTAAAGACTTCTTTATAAGTACCATAAAGCCAAGGATGATAGTTACAAACATCATGGTCCGACAGACGATATGTAAAGCTTTTCTATACTAGTAGGCTTTATTGGCGAGAAATGGTTGAAGGAATGGCGAAGGGTTACAGAAAATTGATGCGCACGCAATAATCAAACCCTCTGGCTTTCAGAATGACCCTTGTCTGGCTGAAATATGTATATTAGGATGCATATACACAATCTAATTTGATTAAACACCTTGACATCTGTTCAAGGGTGCATTTAAGCGGATTGAAATGGAAAGTTTTTAACTCAGTTCATATTGAATTTGCTAATGCTTTAGGATTATGTCAAATCTCTGAACTGCTTTTAGCGTCAAAGTCCCAAGGAGAGAACGACTCTGTGAGTCGGGTGTTTCCTGTTTGGCAGGGCTGCAACGCCCAGTTGGGCCCCTTTTTTCTCAAGTTCGTGTTGCTGATCAACCTGCGTCTTCCCGTTACTAGCATTTTAATTCAGCTCCGAACTGAAAAGTACTGTCTAGTCAACCCCTCTATGTCACGAAAAAGGCACAGCAAATTTGGTACCCCAGGCGACACACGAGCTCACCAAATGCAAGTTTGATGGAAGCACAAGCGTGATAGTCCATAGAAATGGTAGGGTGATCATCCGTAACCCGGACAATGTGCGAGTCATCTTTGCCAGCGACGATGTGAGTAAGACCTGGCTGTTGAAGAACATGTGCGACTATAGGTCGTAGCTTTCTAGGGCATGAACAAATATGTATATCTGTATTTCTGCTTTGCTATACTTATAGTGCTACTATTATCCAGTTACGTTCCAACTCTAACTGTGACGAGCTATATACCAGCTTATTTCGCGCTTTGTTCGAAGAGACTCCATGTCACGTTGAAATGCTCAATATACATATTGAGAGATTGTAGTGTTCTCAGGCAGCCTTTTGTCTTACCAGCTGGTTCTCAGTAAGAGCTCTCAGCCGACGGGTACCCAGGTAGCTCTCTATTTGCCTTGAATACTCTTCGAATTAAAAAAGACCATTTGAGAGTCTCCCGGTCTCTTTCTTCCATCTTGTTTAAGGTCATCGAGGCGTTATAAAATTCTCGAACTGGGGCAGGACCGTATTCTCCGTAGAACATATAGAAGAGAACTTCTTTGATCTCTTTGAGATATTAGTGAGTGTAACATCATGTTTCACGAACACTTACGAAGGCAATTCAACTTGCTGGCAGGCGCGTATGTGACGGCCCGCGGCCACCAGCTTGGTCTCTCTGTATATCGCGACCTTTTATAATTCTTCATAATAGAGACCCACTTGTAAAGAAGGTTTCGACAAATCCTCCCATTGAGGCTTTTGAAGCCAGCTCGATGCAGCTCTTTTAGTGTGCGAGGGGAACGAGGTGATGATCGTGTTCGCGAGTACACTTGGTGAACTAGCGCTATTATTGCCTGCTTTGCTGCATCGACGCATTTATTTATGGCGCTGTTTAATAGCTCTGAGGGCACTAGACTTCCGCACGACCCGGAAAAAACCCAACCCAACCCGGACCCAACCCAACTTGGGTTGGGTTCTGGGGCCATACCTTCGCCCCGGGTCCAGTGCCGGGTCGGGACCTTCGACCCAGCTGGGTTATTGGGGCCCCAAGTTGGGTCACAAACAATGCAAACAACTTAAAATACAGACTGCATAAATTATGCCGATTTTCTCTGTATATTTGAGTAATGGCCAAACAGTCCTCAGTATTCAGGGTTATTGTTATTGGATTCAAACAGATATTGTATTCATGCAATACGTTGATATACATAATCATCATCCTCCCGAGCTTTACGTTTCCTACTTGACGACCGTATCTGGGCTATCTCACCAGATACTGGCAAATCAGGCTCGGAATCACCATCAACATCAATCAAAGGAGTATTATCCTCTTGGATATCATCCTCCTGCTCCTCTGTATCACTGATTGGTTCAATCTCAACAACATCAAGCTTTTCATCCTTCTCCTCTTTGGCTACCTCAATCTCTTCTTGAGAAAAGAATTTCTCTAAGAGCTTTGCTTCCTGTTCTTCCATATCAAATCTAGTTGTACAGAGAAACATCATCAGATCTTCAATGGTACGAGATTTCATCCTACCACGACGGTAATGACAAATATCCCGAGCAGTATTGAACAGGCGTTCAACACCTGCACCTGTTGCTGGAAAAGATAGGACATCACGGGCAAGAGCAGCGATTGCTGGAAAACGGGTATAGTTCTCTTTCCAAAATGCAAGTGGGCTAAGATGAATGACATCTTTAAATGTTAGTATATAGTTTGTATGATATTGGTATTTGAACTTACCACTGTCAAGATATTGGCTTATGTCATCAGAGACTGTTTGAGGGGTTGTTCCACCTTCATCCAACATCTCATCCAGCTTTGTACTCAGGCGAGTAACAAGTGAACTTTCAAATCCTTGATCCTGAGATTGTATCTTCTCCTGGTATGGAACCAAAGCTTCTTGGAAAGATCTCCGGTATTTATCACGCCATTCCTGGTCCCAGTCACTTGTAAGAAAGAATTTAAATTTATTCACAGGTGCAAGCATTGTGCTGATTGCATAGATATGCCCTCGAACATCATCAGTCTGAGAGTAATACTCATCAAGCTTAGTACGACCAGCTTCAAGTGCATGCAACATATCTTGTTTCCATGGAACCCGCTTGCGTCGGAGCTGTGCCATTGATTTTTCGAGATGGTGGAACAATTTGTTGTAGATCTTGAAGACATAGTGTGCAGTGATGTCTCGGGTCTTGGAGAGTTGGGTCGTATAGTTGAAGAATGGCTCAGTGATATGAAGAAGATAATGAACTTGGCGCCATTCTTCATCGTGAAGTAGAAGCTCCTCAGTCATATTCTTCACAGAATAAGGAAAAAAAGGGACGTAGTCGTAAAGCTCGACGTAACATCAGAAAAGTAGAATTCCAACGAGTTCGAACGTCTTGAACTGGAACCAATTTAACTAGAGTTGTCTGAAGATTGTAAAATGTCTCTCGGCGCTGAGGACTAGCATTCACATAGATAGCAAGATAGCGAACTTTTTTGAGAGCAACAGAAATATCACGCTTTGTATCCTGTGCATTGGCTTGGGCTAGCCTTGATTGTTTCTCAGTCCATTTTGTCTCAGCTGAATCGTTTGTTGGAACTGCCTTGATGCGATCAAGAAGCTGGTTGAGGCTTAGCTGAATAACATGGGCGAGGCATGGAATTCGTATAATAATGATACCATCAGAAAGAGCCTGTTGAAGAGATTCCACCAAAGTCTTATTATTGGCAGCATTATCTGTTGTTAAACCAAATACTCTTTCTTCGAGATTATGCTCAAGTAGAGTATCCAGTAGAACAGCACTCAGATTAGCTCCAGTGTGTGCACCTTGAAGGGGTTTAAATCCGAGAAGCACTTCACGGTATACCCAATCAGCATCAATGAAATAGCCAGTAATAGCCATAAATGCTTGTGAAAAAGGAGATGTCCAACAGTCAAGTGCAATTGATATCTTCGATCCTGGGGGTAGCGATCGTAGAATCCGTTCGTGTCGATCTTTAACCATGCTCCCCAGCCTGCGGCGAATTGTATCGGATGATGGAATTGATGGAGTAGAGGGAGCCGAGCGAGCCTTGGTGATAATGCGTTTGAATGTTGGGTGTTCAATCAGATGGAAAGGTAACCGGTTCAGGGTTAGGAACTGTAGGATTTCCTCTTCCCAATCTTCTTGTACAAAGGGTCTATTCTGTGATGAGCCTTCCTAGATAGTAGAAATAGATAAACTTGTAAGTATTGTAACATTATAAATCGAATATTCAACATACCTCTTTTCGTAGGAAGTTTGTAATCTCTGATTTCCTCCTATTTCCTGAGCGCACACATGTAGCAGTCTTCAGATGCTTTTGTATCGTTGATGTACCATGATAATACGTTTTGTTTGTGTTATTACCAGGAGTCATTGAATAAGGATGCTCCAAGGCCTTTCCACAGCGTTTACACATAACCTTTGGTATACCGTCTACACCATGTGCAATCTGATGGTAGTTTTGCCAAACCTCCGTATGGCGCGCTGAGTCCCATCTAAACTTGCTTCTCCGACCGAAGTCGGTTTGAAGCCACCATTCCACCCATTCAGTATGTGCCATTTGGTCGTAGAGAACAAATGATTTCTTTCGATCGGGACCAACGCGTTGAAGGGAGGAAGGAATTGGAGGTGGTTCAACCGGTCGTCGAAGGTGTTCGTTGATAGTAGAATTGGTTAAAGAGGGAGTAGGTGGTTGAGCTAATATGAATGAGGAATCATCAGCCTCTCCACCGTAAAAAGAAGATGCGAAATCAGAGTGCTGGCTTTGAGACATCATCCAATTGAGATTTAAAGAACTGATGTAAAGTAAAGCAAGTAAGGGAGCGCGTTTATTACTTACAATTGAGAATAGTCAGAAGAGATCAGAGGTGATAGATCAACTGGGACTAAATACTATCTCCTTATTGATTGGTCTATAGAGTACATAATAAGTGGGTATTAGCGTATAACCCGGAAAAAAACCAGTGAAAACCCGGGAAACCCAGTAAAATCACCAGAAAACCCAATAAAAGCCCAATTCCCACATTATTTCTCAAAAATTCTCAAAAACATTTCACCCAAACTTCTCGACTTCAACCAAAAGCTTCACAACCAAGGGGATCTAGAGTATATATAATAAATTCTAAACTTTTCAAGGCTTAATTTGTCTCAAAACTCCTCTCTAATCAATAAAATTCAAAAAAAAAAGGATGTTCTACTATATTTTTTTCTAGTTTTACACTGTGTAAAATCTACACTGACACTATATGTTGTAAAGATTTATTTCTACAGTCTGTATGTTAGATATTCTGAAAACATCAAGTTAAGTACAATTTTGATAGAAATCGTAGATTTCAAAAAGTAATTAGCACTGAACCAAGCTATTTATCCTCATAAACAATCTTTTTTCATAAAGTTTCATTGCTTCTCCTACTAAATATCGAAGTCTGTCTTGATGTGACCAAAACAATAGAAAATTATAGTATTCAATCCAGATGAGTAAAGCACTTTATACAGTGAATTATGCAAAAGTTGGGTCCAGTTGGGCTTTTATTGGGTTATCTGGGGCACCGGCAGTTGGGTCCGGTGCTGGGTCGGGACCTTCGACCCATTTCCGGGTCGTGCGGAAGTCTAGAGGGCACGATATTAGTATTTATTCTGCGAACGACTGAGCTACATACCACTTTCAAATTTGCTACCTTCGATAGGTCGTGCAATGTTCAAACTGGAAATTGCAAGGCTTTTGGTGGGATTTGCCGCTTCCAATATAGCACTTGTAAATGGATTGAGGCTTGGAAGAATAGCCGGAATAAATTGCGAGAAATTGGGTCGAAACGTAGCCGGTGGTTTATCAATACCAACTGTTGCTCCCACTATCGAAAACGCCCTTCACACTATTAATAAGGGCCAAAGATTTTCGCGAATGAAGACTCACAAGCAATTACTTCTGATAACAGCATGGTTAGAAAAGGATATCTTAGGTGTCAGATTAAGGACGTACTTGTTCTCGAAGATTACCCTTGGCCATCCAACGGTCGGGTTTTCGCTTAAGCATCTGGCCACACAGGGTCTTTCCAGCAGCGCATGAGACACTCTGGATTTCCAATTGATTTTTCGCTCTGTCAGTTCCACGACGGCACGGCATTCGGGATGTGATCTGTCTATAAGCTTGATTCAACAGGGGGTAATCAAGGTCGCCTACATCCAAATCCCGTCATCAAAGCTGAAATTTTGCCAACAAATATAGAAAGGAAAGCCATTCAAGTCTGCCTGGGGCCCTAAATGCGTCGGGTTTGCATCGATGACGAGACAGGCCCCATCTTCATCAATATCAGACTGGTCACAGGAGTAGGCGGTTCCCTCTTTCTTCGTGTTGGGGAGGCTAGGGGGGTTTTCTTGCGCATCTGCTCTCGCTTGAATATCGACGTTTTTTTGCGGCTCCGTTGCTTTGTCGTGGTATGGTAGGGACGGCTTGGCACTTTTTTGTTGCTCACGATCAGAGACAAAATGTGAGGATGAAGTCTGGTGGTCCGAAGCCGAGGCGATTGGAACAGTTTGAGGTCTGTGAGATTGATTCTCAATTCTGCAAGCAAGAATTTATTAGCGGCAATGAAGTAAGGTTGTAGTGAATAGGTGAATGAGTTGATGAAGACTTTTTCATCCCATCAACCTTTACTTGCCTGTCTTTTGGATCCAAAGCTTGCGAGTGCTCACTGTGCTCCTTTGTGTCCTTACCACAATGTTTTCTGTTAGCATTGCCGAAAGTCGTGGTGCTTTGTTCCATTTTGATCAAACTCCTTGTAGAAAAATCACTACTCCCAGATTCCGAGTCGAGGTATGTGGTAGAATGATGGGATTTAGATTTAGGACTGAGATACTCTCCCTGATTCACCCACAGGATCGCAGAGTTGCATTTCATTCCCCTTTCGGAGCATTGGTGACAAGGGTATTTCCCTGATAATCTAGAACTGCACTTTATTTTTCGTTTCCTGCAGAAACTGCAAACTCCCGGAGTAGATCCTAAAGAATCAGAATTGCCTCGAAGCATTTCGCTTGGAGCTTGCGAACCAGGTATCTTGTCATCGGATATATGTCGTTCTCGGGGTTTCAATTTTGTAGCAACAAAGCTCGCACTGTTTCCATCGTGTACCTGTTGATTTCCATACAGGGGAATGGGAGGTTGCATATGATGATTATTGTGTTGATGAAACGGATCCGTGGGACAGGTAGGGTTGAAGGTTCTGTCGTCACCCAAGTTGCACAAGTTCATGGGTAGACGTGATGAGGGCTCTGGCATGAAAGGAGCAGATATGGGCCAATATTCTGGAAAATTGGGAAATCATCAGTTCTTGTCTGCAACTGAATGCTGGACTCACCATACGCTGCTGTCTCTGGCCCCCGAAGGGCATTAAATATGGATTCTCGGAGTTCGGTAGAAAGGTACTGTTTGAATGAAATGACGATTCAGGGTATATCGCAAAGTTGGGATCATCTGGGTTAAGCATGAATTGAGAGCCCACGCCCGCTGAGGGGGGCAGGAAAGATGGTGAAGCGGAGGTATGGCGGAATGAGGTGGGAAATTGTTACTCTCCATGTCTGAGCGGTAAGTCAGCGTGAATGATTTCACACATGAGACGACGGGGCATTGGTCCGCTTTTAATGCGAATAATGGCTGCATGACGGGATACGGCTTGAAGCACAGGCGCTGTTCCCGCGACTACTCAACGCTACGTGAGCAGGTGCCACAGGCCTGTAGGCTTGCCCTTTCTAGCATGTCTGCTCCACCTTTGAGGTCAAGGTTCACTTTTCCCCTGTGACCTAAATCCTGTGGAAATTAATACATTTCGATTTTATGTATTCCTATTCATAGTAATATTTTCTTCGAGTTCAGGGGCAGGACATCAGATCTTAGATTCAACTACCTCCCAAACTCTATGTCTACTGAGAATTAGGTCAACTCCTTCCCCATTTGAGATATCTACGTTTCTAATGTGTCAAAATCTGTGGAAAATAGCACAGCGTAAAATAGATTGGTACTTTGAATCAAATGAACGGAATGTCAACAGCTACAAAGTAGGGAAGTTTGCAAGAGAAAGAGCATGCCCATCTTTCAAAAATGTTCGCCAATATGCCACCGCCTCTGTGTCCAATACACCAATCATTACTCCACACAGAAAGATTGAGCCCTCAAAAGCCATGTCCATAATTGCAATTTGAAACCTCGGCGGGAATGTAGGCATCCATTTCCCTCGACAATGCTCGCTGGGGTCGTGGGGCCGTACTGCATCTGTTCGTTCCTTGAGGGCTCTTGGTCTGAAAATACACCTGCGCTAAAAGGTGCAGTCCTAAACAACTCGTCAGAAGGAGCTGGAATATGCTCTTCGTTCTTCCGCCTCAAAAGCTTTCCATCATCAATAGGGTGCATGAGTTTGAGAGATGAAGCTTTTTTGCCTGCCGATGTAGAGCTTTGGACCGAGTAGGACGAACACATCTTGATAAGTTTTTCAGCAAGTGAAAAGTCCCCTTGCGCTGCTTGCTTCCCGGCTTGAAGCACTGAATATAACGCAGGAGTTGAGCCATTGAGCTCATGCTGTATGTTGACAAGGCTATCAATTTGTTGCACAGTCTCTTTTAAAGAGCCGCTATATTTCATGCCGTCGCGAACAGCTCTCATAGAAAAGAAATTACGAAGACAACAGAGCTCCTACAGTATTATGTTAGAGTGATGATTCCAGAAGCCAATTTTCACAGACTTACCTTGGAAAGTTGAAGTAGTTCTGAGGCACTTAGGACTCCAGCGTCTGAACATTCCTTCACTGAGCAACATAAGCGATTGCTGATTTCATTCAGGTTCTGTAGGGCTTGACGTTCTCTTTTGAAAGAATTTATCTTGAGCTTCTGATAGGACGCATGAGCCGTTTCAGACAAAGACCTCGCAAGTGCTACAGGCCCTAAAGATCGAAACTCGTCGAAAAATTCTGTATTGGTGTCGAACGGTTCATTCCAATTCCTGAGGGCATTGTCACAGAAGCTGGCAAAACGAGACTTCAGCAACTTCAATTGTTGCAGGATGACTCCAGTAGACTTATGCTTTTGGAATAGCCCTTTCAGGGGCTCGGTGATGAAGAAGCAAAGCGGCAAATCCAGATCTGCATCTTTTATTTGTCCTGCAACAACACATTCATATGCGTTCTGAATCACAGCGCATATGAAAGGATCAGCATCCAAGATGTCCAGCTCCTACCATGCATTAGTCTTTTTTTGGATACCGGGAATGGGGAATATTTGGAGAGCATACTTTTTTGACTTTGACCAAGTGCTGTACATGACGGCGTCGCTTAATGAAGTAGTAGTAGATTCTTGCATTGAGCCATTGGTACCTCAAACAGAAATCCAAAATCTCTGGCGCAGAGATACCCAGCGCTTGCTGTGCCAAAGCATCGAAAGTGAGAAGCTTGAATTTTTTCAAGCTTTGTCCTTCCAAGCTGATCGCCACTGACGTGTACAAGCCCTTTTTGATATCTGCTGGATCAAATTTCCAGCTCTCACAGAGAGGTTGAAGGTATTTTTGTGCGTGGGAGGTCTTTTTCAAGAAACTCAACATGCAACGTCGATCGAAAGAAACACAATCATGTCCCACGAACAGCCCTGTGGCTTCATGTTGCCTACATATACAATTCGGAGGCAGTGGCCCCCAAACCACATCGCATCCGTCATCCTGTGCACCGATAGCTGAGGGGTCGACTTCTGTTGAAGTGCTCCAAAAGGAAGCCGAATGGGTAAGCTCTGAGTGTATTCATGATTAGCTGCATTGTTTGGATGTTTCGTGGACCACATTGCTGGATTCAATGGTCAAGCGTACCTTGACGACTTTCAGTTTCATACTGAGGCTTCACATCGACAATGGAGCCCACATGCTCCGGATTGACAGCCATCCTGATGAAGATAGGATTGGAAACCTTGTCGCCAGAAATATTATATACTAACTTGCAGCTCACTTGGGCGCGCCAACAAGTGCGTCGCTTGCATCAACCCTTGCACGTGCATAATCGACAAAGTACTAGGTTCGTCATCCGTGACTCCGCTAAGAGGCCAATCCTTCGGCGGAGAAATCCCGGTCGGACCATGGGGAGCATCGCTGGAGAGGTTTTTTTTATTAGCGCTGGGAGTCCTGTAGATATCGGTCTAGAATCTTAGGTATATGTATTTGCTTTTCCATACCGGTCTTGATCGGCACCCCTTGTTTTATTACATGATCTTTCCAAACACCATGTCACAAAAGTAGGTGGGGCAATCAACCCCAACCAATGAATGCGCTTCTTGTAGTGTTGAGGATCGGTTCCTGCCAATTTGGCACTGTACTACCAAAATGCCATTGCTACAGTGATTCGCTTCATTGGTTGGTTGATTCGGACATCCCTAGCACGGTACAGCACGAGGTTCGTTCCTTTCTGCCCAATAAAAAATCTGAGGAATCAGTGCTATTTTAACGGCGCAGGACATCAAGCAGTCTCACTGGCGACATGGAAATACACGGCCGCCAGCTTCTACAGCCCTTTTGCTTGGCTACCCGAACTATTTTTCTTGTTTATCATTCTTTGTTTTGACTCAAGAACAAAATAAGCAAACTCGATGTTGTGCGCTTTCCATGAGAGGAAGCTCTTTGCTATGAAACAGGCCTCGCTCTTTTTAAGTCTATGTTGTAAGCGCTTGGGATGCCTTTATAGTCTAATTTTAAGAAAATTGAATTCGTTCAGATATTGAGCTGCAAAGTTTAATCTTTCTTTTGTGATAGATATAAATCTCCATCCAAATCGTCGAAAACAATATGCCCGAGGCCATAGCCCATGCCTTTTTTGTAATCCAGTCTTCCTTGATACCAGCCTGATGGACTATGTTAGACACTGATTTCTCCACCCCTAATGGAATCCCAACTTACTTCTTTGTTTCAGGACTTCGTCGATTTCAAAGCACCGATGGAAATCGGGGACCCCATGACCATCATAATCAATATCCAAAGTAGTAAAATCGATGCTCCGTCCCATGAGCTCCCCATAAATTTCAACGAAAGGTGCCACTTTCTTCGAGAGAAGGCCTTGATGATATTCATCCTTCTCTTTACCACAATGCTCCAGCACGTTGGCGGAGGTGGCGAATCCGCTCCAGCAGCAAGGACAAACATAGTGAATTCCGGCAATACCGATGATGTTTCTCAATATATCAATTTTTTCTGCAAGTTCGTCACTCATCATCTTCAGAATAAAGTCGCGTCCAAGGCAGGAGCCGTATGGTCGACGATGTGATTGACTGAAATCTAGCCCTAGCCCTTCGACGGTGATCTCTTTCCGTCCACAGGCGATAGCCAGAGCCTCTCGAAACTCACGGAAGGCCCCTCCAATGTTCACGGATCCAATTTCCCTGTGTATCTTGCTCCTCATTCTCTCTCGCTCGTTCAAATCCCTCTTCTCCTCTCCCTTCTTTCGACAGTGTCCGAAAGCAACATCGGCTCGAGAATATGAAATGAGACATAATGGGCAGACAAATTTCTTCTTCGCCTTTTCAAGTATTTCCCTCATTAAATTATGCACAATCTGAAGATGAGACATCAGAGGCTGGAAAGACAGGATCTCAAGGTTGTTTCCGCAGATTGCTTGGAATATAGAAGATTGCAAATGAATCTTCATAGGAAGGGATCATTATTTCAAAGACTGACGCACCTCTTATACACAAATATCTGTCGGCTTAGCTCCAATCGCTGAGCCTGCCATGTCTAGTCGGTAAGTAGACGAGGGTCTCTTTTTATTGGCAAAGGCCGCCTCGCCAATGAATCTTCCCAGACAGAAAGCATTGGTCGAAACCTAGAGGAGCTGTGACTATTCAGGATAGCACTCCTGCACGGTCTTTAACGAGGATTCTGGTCCCATACTCTTGAGAGAGCTCGGCCTCAACCGAAGTTGGTCCTTAATGTGAACAGGTACTATTTAACAATTGCTCTTCCGCTCTCCAAACTGGACTCCAAGTATTTCCCTTAATATAAGGTTCGAACTCAGCTACATAAAAAGACTATTAGGGCAAAGGGCTGGACGGATCAGATACCGTCAAATCGTCTTCAGGAAACATTTCGCTAAACACTTCGAAGGCCGGGTGCTGCAGGCCCCATTCTACCAGGAGCTTCCTTCCAATGCGCGTTCTGGCCATCTCACCCCACGGAATTTTGTAGTTCTTGAACCACAATATCCGAACAGTCCAATCTGTGTCTGGCAATTTCCTCTCATCCCTGATTTCTTGTTGGAGGAGGTAAAATGTCTCCGTGTCTTTGCCATGTTCCGGTGCCATTTCCTGGACAATGCGCATATCACCGATCTCGAAATCTGGGACAGGTGGTGTTTCCTATTTATTCGTTAGTAAAAATGTGGATTGGATGGTGTCCGGAATACTCACTGAAAGCTCATTCAGGCGTTGAGCAGAAATATATACAAAAGCAGGACGAGAATGCAGTGCTGAATTCTAATAGCCTTCGGCTGAATCAATAGTTATTGGATTGTCGTCAAATATCAGAAGAGCATCCAAACCTTGAGGGTCTTCTCGTGCCTGTCCCCTTGCCATCCTGCAGCATCGAAAGAGCCCGAGGATACGAGACCAAAGGTTACTTGATATATCCATAAGTCAAACAAAATTGTAAATACTCGTACTGCCGGCGGAGATTAAAAAATGTACAACTTTGCAGCAATGCTCTGAAAGCAAAATAGAATTCATTTGAAGTACTGACGCCAAGGTAATTATAGAAAAGCATGATCATACATCTCCTGAATAGTACCAATGTCCCATAATCTACTCCGACCGTCATCATTGCCGCATTTTTGTTAATTCCCGCATGAGGCGGGTCAGATAGACTTGCTCCTTGAAGGAGATTAAAGGAAATTTTGATACAATACAATATTGTACGATGTACTGAAAAGGTCTAGAGCTCTTGATAGTGTGACCTGCAAGGTTGTTGTTATTTCTTGCATCGGCCATTAAATTGATATGCGAGTTGATGATCAAGGGTCTTACATAGTCAGATCATATTTCAGTACCTAGGACATGAAGCCAAACAGGTCAGGAAGAGGCAATATGTGATAATCGAGCAAGAATTTACCACCCAACCTAGGCTCTCGACTTTGCAAGTCACATTGGCACCATGGGTTTAGCAAAGAGGGTGGGAAGATTGGGAAGATTGGGAAGATTGGGAAGATTGGGAAGATTGGGAAGATTGGGAAGATTGGGAAGATTGGGAAGAATGAGAAGATTGAGAAAGTTGAGAAGATTGGGAAGATTATGAAGACAGGAGAGTGTAATTGGCTACATACACTCTTACATAAGCACGACCCATGCGCGTAGTTCAATAAGTGATTGGCCAATCAAAAGCAGCCTCCGAATGATACCAATGCTCGTAGGATACATCGCCTATTACGTAAAGTAAAATTAGTACACGCCCACCAGGCTACAAACGACTAGGAATCTGTCCCAGACTCATGGAACCTCTCAATGTCCAGCTGCTTTTCAGTACTTATGTATGATTTCGTCGATGTCTGTCTTTCTTCTACGATCTGGGGCGGTACGTGCTCCGCTGACACCAGCCTACGTATACGATGTACGTAGAGCAGAGGCTTTTGATATTGTGATACTAGGTGCACAGAAAACAAGGGCCGTGCGAGTAAGTTGCTATATAAGGAAGGCATGTTGACGGGTGATATTGTCAAAAAAACAGTCACTCCAGTGATCGCTCCCGGGCTTTTGACGTTTCACTTTCTCATCCAAACACCTCCGTGCATCAATTCGCTTCAAAATGTGTAGCTATACGACTGCCACAGTAACCTACCGCCTTTGCTCCCGAGCAAACAAACATACGATCGAGAAACGCTATTATAAAAAATGCGACAAGGCAAAGAAAACAGGAAACTACTGCGAGGATGCTCTCCCTGATCCAACTCTTGGGATCTTCGGAAGTAGTACTCGTGCTGGCCCTTGCCCATACTGTCGCGATTCAGGCATGTCCACTGGCACTGTGACTTATGAATCTGTAAGTACTACTTCAGGATTGTCATGGGGAGCATTATTGACGGAAACAGCATTCTATCGATTAGATAGCCGAATATGCCAGGGAACCTCGGGAATGAGCTTGAGTGAGAAAGTGGGGTGGAAATTGGAATCCACCTTCAAAGCACTGGCTACAGCTCAAGATAATCTAGTTTACTCATTTTTAGGGATGTGCAGTCCAAGACACGAGTTGTCTCACTTTTGTCCAGCTTTGCAGAGCGAGCACCCCATCTATCAAATCACACCGTTTTGTTTATTGGCCAATGTATCTTCGCGAGTATATTACATATTTCCAGCAGAGTTACACCCGTGATGCCTCAATTTATCTGAACGTCAATCATGCAATGATTATTACTGTCAATTTAACTCTTGGCAAGCGTTGGGTCTGGGATCTGGATTTGTCAAAATCGCGGGACGGGTTTCGACCAAATAACAATAATATACACGATCTTACACGGTTTTCTACGTAGCATGGGCTGTACTACAATAGTAGTTTCTGTGATCACAGGCTCATGGGTAAACCCATGGGTACCCAAAAAAAGCAAATGGCGAAGTCTAGCAACTTGTGATAGCTCAAAGCGGCACGTGACCAAAGCTATCCCTTAGTCTCATTTGGGTGGCCGTATATACCGTCAGCAACTTACCCTTCTCTCCCCCTAGAACATTTCCTCTCGAAACCTCAGCCATTTGTCGTCCAAATGAATTCCTTTTCCAATTTGAACCGAGCCGATTCCTTCATTGCGGCTGGTACAGTCTCGGTAGTCCATGCTGTCGACGAAAATATCGTTATCAAAATCCGTCCCTCATCAGGGGATTTCGAACGTCAAGCTTACAATATTGAAATTCGCTCTTATGAGCGACTTGGGTGCCATGAACACATTGCATCTTGCGAAGTGACTGAGGAAGGTCTCTTGTTGGAACGTGGAACTTGTCTTCGGGCCATGCTACAGAGTGTCAGCAAGTCTGCCATTCCTTGGGCCGTGAAGTTACAGTGGGCGCTGGAAGCCGCGGGTGGTCTTGCATATATTCATAGCAAGGGGATTATTCATGCAGACGTTGGCTGTCACAACGTCATCGTGAATAATGCCAGGCACATCAAATTCATTGACTTCGCTGGCTCTGGTATCGATGGTGAAGCCCCTTTAGTCTGCTATGAATGGTGCAGTTTCCAGCCGGGCAATGAAATCAGCATCTGCACAGATATATTTGCCTTTGGGTCAATGCTTTTCGAGCTTGAAACAGGGCGCGTCCCCTACAGCGAGCTGGAAAAAACTCTCGAAATGGGAAAGCTAGTGGCGGTTGCTGAGGGTTTGTTCTCACAGCGGAAATTCCCACCTGTGGATACTCTGGCCTTCGGATCCGTCATTTCTGGTTGCTGGAATGGCAAATACAATTCAATGGAGGAAGTCCGTCGAGATATTGCGTTATTGTGAGAATCTTTCGGAGGAAAGGATGAATCGGCAACATTTTGTGCTAAGTCTTTTCTATGCAAGTGACTAGCAATTACACATGTTTGTCCAACTCAAACCTCCGAGCTATTGAATTTGCCAGAGATATCGCGATATGCGCCGGCATGAAAATTCGGGAAGAAAAAAGTAATGTGCCTATAATGTATCAAAATCAAGGGCAAGTTTTTCATGCTAGAGGTGGAACCGTGAAGTAACAGACTCGCGGCCATGCAAAGGATGACAACAGTTTTTCCAACCACAAATATGCTGGGGGCTAGCATTTTTCAAACCGCCAATATTGCGCAGTTCTGAGTCGCGTTGAAATAGTACCTGACTATACATTTCAAACGCCTCTTTCAAGCATATCCAACTATGCTATCCAGGTAAAAAAGAGACTGGATGTTACAGTAGTTTTCGAAATCAGTTATACCTCCATACTCATGTGACTTGATTGCCGGAAATTAATTTCGAGAGTAACGAGTTCTGATTGGATACCATCAGTGACCCTGGCTTCTTAGACCGCTTGCCCAAATAAGGCTTGTAACTTACAATATCACAATGAGACAATCTGAGACATGCGGCAATGCGTGGCAAAACGATGACTCAGCTAAGCAAATACAGATACAGTTTTGCCTGCAGTACAGGATGGATCGAAATTAGTTTCACCACTTGCACACGGGGAATCTATCTCGAACCCTCTTATGAAACACGCTATACTTATTATAGTTACTCTTCCCCTGAACCCCTGTCTTGGCAGTAATTCAATACACGTGTAAATAACAGCATAAAAATAGCTTCTGTATTAGACCTGTATGGCTCTTTGCCATTCTAGAACGTTGGCCCTGCAAACAGGCCAAACACAAGGGTTGTCTGCTCTTCTCGTCTGGAGATGTGGCAGGAATTCGACTCCCACTCCCGTCAACCACGCACCACTACACCGACCGCGGTGCATAGAGACCGTAATAGTGGGTAATATTTATTTGCTTTGTGTAGCAAGTTTGACTGACTGGTTGTGATCATGCTGACGTTGGATTTTTTGGAGCGTTCAGACGAAGACGATGACTACTGATTCATATCCCCATGAACATGATTTTCAACCCCATGTACTTGAACCTGGAGACCAAGATTCGCAATATGCTCCCACTCCAGGATACTACGGTCGCACTCCTGCGTCAAGCTGTGGGCTCAGCCCTTCCCCCGACTATCACTCCGAGCACAATCTAGAAGACCTGTGCCAACACGAGCCGGAAAGACCCAGACTGCTTCAGCTATCCGAGTGGCACGATGGGATGCTAAGTGACGAGCTTCCGGCAAACTGCATCCAATATACGATTGAATGGAAAGTTACAGTAAATAAGAAGGTGCTCTCGCGAGACACTGAAGAGGATTTAGTACTGACTCCGAGTGCTTATTGGCCGAAGACCCTGAAGGGTAAGCTTGAGAGGTTGTTAGAAGGGGAGATCCCCCGTAAAGGAAGGGTAAGGTCGGACGACACTTCAATCGCTGTATCGGTGAATGATCGATCCCAACGCGACCTGATGAAACGGTTTGATCATCTCGACATCGATTGGACTGCTGTTGAAAAGCAGCTGTTGAAATGGGGCGAACTTTTTCGTCGAGGCAAGAAACTGAGGCTAAGTATCACCTTCAAATATGTTGAGGACGACTCTCTTCACAAAATTACCTCGGGTAGAGTCGAGAAAAAAGGAAGGTCATCGGTCACTAAACGAATGCTCAACGAACAAGATGCTCAGCTGGATGCCGAAGAAAACGTGTCCGGGCAAGAATCGATATAGCGGGGTGTTTACAACCTAATACGTTGCCCATCCTCTTCATGCCATCTCGGCCCACATTACTAGCAAGACCCCCACGGAAAGAAGCACTATAAATTGAGAAGCCATCAATTAAAGCGTTTGATTACCTTTGTGGAGAAAGACGACACCTTACTATCTCATGAAGATATCCCGGATAATTTCCGTGAGGAACTATATATGAAAAAGCGGCATAGACTAGAGAGCCAACAATCTCAGAAGAACAAAATAGTAGGCACCCCAGGAAGCTGTCAGCCTATGAATATCAACTTCAATGGGATGCAATCTTCCCCACAACAAGACACGTCCAACCCAACCACAGCCTCAGCAATGGTTCTACCACCCAATGACCAAGTGGTGAAAGACCTCAATCTTACTAGGCTAAGAGACGAAGCTGTCAAAGACTACGGCGCATGGCATGAATCGAATGTTGCTGATGAAAATCTGAAAGCACAGTTTCGACAAGCATGCAATGTGGCGTTAGCCAATGGTCTTGATCTTAGACTGATCCACGAGGACCAAGATCCCTCATTCTTCATCGACAAAGGGATTGTGGTGGGTATTGCACGCCAATTCGTAAGAGATATTGGCCAATGGGTTAAGTGTGTAAGGAATGTCACGCTGGACGACCAAGCTACGCAGGCCGCAGCTTGAACCCACATGAAGGCGTAAGAAGGCGTTCGTATACACACTAGATTGGCTTTTAAATGACTTCTGTTTTATGCAAATCCTTAAGCTGATGATTAAACCACAACTGTAGACACAAAAGTAGAGCTGGCAGAGAATCGACTAACTTTTGTAACTGGTAGTTTGTATATATTGTGTCTCTGTACAGCTGGATTCGAAATTGGCTTCCATGTTTAACACAGGGAAACTGTCGCAAGCCCCACTGCCAAGACGATGGTGAAACTAATTAGTCCAGATTTGGCTAGCTGTAGATCATCCCTGCGCGTCAGAATGGAAATGTAATATACCTGACAAGACTGATACGTCTTGCTAATACGCTTTTCTTGCTCGCTGCCCTCATCTCCCGCCCGAGCCCAAGACAATGCAGCTCACGCCAACATAACCCTCGTTAGACACACGGCACAAAATGGCTCCCAGCCTGCCTTCTTTAACTAGAGAGTTCATTCGCGATATGATCTTGAGCAAATCACTGACCACAACTCAGATCGCTGATGGTGCTGGATGTAGCCCCTTCCATCACGACCATCCGGAGCAATTTGCGCCGATTCGGTGATACCAGATCCCCTCCTATTCGAGCAGGTCGGCCCTGTAGCGTCACACCACCAATCCTGGAGGCTCTTCACGACCATCTGCTGGAAAAACCTGGTCTCTACCTCGATGAAATGGCGCTTTTTCTATGGGATGATTTTGGCATATACGTAAGAACCTCCAGTATCAGTATAGCGTTAGTTTCCGGAAATGGTCAAAGAAGACATCTCGACAGAAAGCAAAGGCACAGAATGCTGATCTTAGAGATTGCTATCTATACAACCTGTCCGAGCTCGGCCGTATCATCTGGTGTATATCGATAAGTCTAGGTGCGATAAACGCATTGGCTTCAAGAGAACAGGATGGTCAACGCTCGGCATTGTACCGATACAAGTCTCCAAATTCCATCGCGATCAAAGGTACCAGATTCTACCAGCACATTCTCAAGATAGTATAGTCTTGTCACGAGTTTTTCGTAGCTCGGCCTACGCGTCGGTTTTCGAGGATTTCGTTGAGGAGCTTCTGCAGTATTGCGGGAAGTGGCCGGAGCCTAGGCCCAGTTTAGTGATGACAACGCCTCGTTCTACCATTCTGACTGTATAGAACAAATGTGTTCAGACGCTGGTGTAAAGCTGATTTATTTGCCTCCCTACTCGACTGACCTAAATCCTATTGAGAAGTTCTCCTCTGAGCTTAAAGCCTTCATTCGGAGACACTGGATATCTTTCGAAGATAACCCTGAACAGGGCTTTGATGATTTCCTGGAGTGGTTTGTGGAACGCCCAGGCATACGGGGACAAAGTGCAAAAGGGCATTTTACGCATGCAGGTGTCAATATTGACGAGACGTGATACGAACGACTTGGTTCAATGGGCCGTTGTCATTTAAAACCTATTGTGTCTTGATAGACTGAGGCAAGTGGTGAAAATGATGATAAATAATCCGTTCTTCAAACTATCCGCAGTATATATGAATTCTCTCTATATCCTTAAGTCATAACTCAACAACGTCGCGGCGCATAATTTCGCCCACTGGGTGATCTCAGATATAAACCAGCGCGCTACTCCCACACTGATGCCCTGCTTAATGAAAACTTCTGGATCTTGATCAGTGTGGATCTGCTGGAGATCAAGGCCATTTGCAAGCGCTAAGTCTCGGGCTTTGTGGATATCGTCCTTGAGAATGTCTTGGCTCACGCTGGATTGTGCTGGCTTGCCCCTGAACAAAGGCCGACAACACTATCCGGTCAAACCAGATTGGTAATTTAAGCTCATTTCATTCGGCTGAGAGTCTATGCGCTCGGTCCTATACGCTACAGCTAGTTGTTGAAGAACGCATTAACATCAAAGCCTTTGGCTATTCCCACAACCCCCTTGCCGTGGTTTGTGGCTTTGACATTGTGAATTTCCTGGTGAACCTCTCCGTTGTCATTGTCGCAATTGATGAGACCGACAAGAAGCCTGCCACCGTCACTCATGTCGACACTGGTAATCTTTTGCCCTGTACGCATTTGGTGGGCCTCCGCGAGCAGGCTTTCTAAGAGCTTTCGAGAATCATCTATTGCAGCACGTTGATGTTGGAGTTGCTCAATGACTTCGGCGCCACCTTGACGGTCATCCAAGAGCTGCACTTCTGTCATCTTATGCAAGGCCAATGCCGCCACGACTTTCTGTTTGTCAATCTCGATGATCTCCTGAGCGATCTCAGTTTCCTTGGTACGAAGGTCTTTTTGAATCGTGTCAACGATGGGGGATGAGCCTGCGATCGAAAGCCTGTGGAGCTGGTGAGTCTATGTCTGATGATCAAGCCAAACCTGTATCAGAAATGAAACACGTACAAGATTGCGGCGCTGACTGCTGTGTCCATGGTAGATTTGTAGCGGTTGAGCTGCTCACGGAGAGTCTCAATAGTTCGTTCAGCGAATAAGCCGACATGCACACGATCCCACACGTGCATCTTATCACCCGAGCGCTTCGTCCAACGTGCTATCTTTGTGCGAAAGTCACTGCAGGCCTTTTGACAATGCATGATGGCCAACGACAGGGCCTTCTTCACGTCGGGCGTGAGGTGTTCGAGCTGGGAGTTCTCGTGCGCATTATTCAGGGCCAGAAGAACGGCCTCCACACCCGTCAGTTCGTCCTTGAGACCAGCTATCGCATCTGGTGCACTTTTGATGGCCTGGATCTCGTGGATTAATGCTTGAATACTCTGCACCGCTGCCCCAGCTATACCTAAAGCGCCAACAGTCAAGCTGAACGGATCCATCGTCGCAAAAGAGTGAGCAAAAGGGACCTGGCTTGAAGAAAATGGTGGATTTCAGATGCTTTGGCACACTCGGACTCTCCTTTCAAATGGCCGTTTCAACGTGTGGGTATGTTCTAAGCCGGACGTAATTATGGATATTGGATGAAAGCCTGGAGTAGGATGTAAACCGGCACTGGGAAATCGTGAGGCTTACATTTTAATTGCCGCCGGTGCCCCTGCCACCTAGGAACTCTACCCCGCGAGGGGATGAGGCTTTATCGGCCAATCATTGACCCCCACGAACCGTATTGGACAACAGTCTTACCGGATAGAGCTAGGCAAAATTTTAATTTGGGCTCGGCCCCGCTTATCAGCGCAACGGACTGAACCAGTGGATCCCCCTCCCTAATTGGAAGAAGACACGTTTGCAAAGTGCAGTTTGCCCAACTGACCTTCAAGCAAACAAAGCGTGCGGCAACACGTGAATCTGTACTGCAGGATTAATATACCCAGTGATCATATTTGTATTTTCTTGGTACTCAGCCTCCTCAGCAACACAGTCGAGTCCTGATATTTTCGTTCTTTGAAGGGTACGATTTGCCCGTCTCAGCCATTTCGAATTTCTTGTGCCTGGCGATCGTGATACGGTAGTCATGACTAGAGAAAGGTCCTCGAGAGCCTCCTTTACCCAAAGTATATCTGGAGTGAGCGCAGGATCGGGTGGAAAAGTGTTCGCAGGATATTTGGATAATAGTAACAACAGCGAATATCACGGTGGGACCCACTACCACCGGCATCCTGGTAAGTTCTTGGGCAAGAAAACTGACCGTGACTGCTAACAAACTCCTAGACCAAGAATGCCTAAAGCATTTGCGAGTAACGAATCCACACGACGATAAAGATCGGATTGAGAGCGACAAGGGTGGACTTTTGAAGGACTCCTATCGCTGGATCCTCGGTCATGACGATTTTAAGCAGTGGCAAAATGACCCAGAGAGCCAGCTGCTCTGGATCAAGGGCGATCCTGGAAAGGGCAAGACGATGTTACTGTGCGGAATCATCAATGAGTTGACTGCGTCAACTGCTGAGGATACGACCACAATCTCGTTTTTCTTCTGCCAGGCCGCTATACCTGATATCAACAACGCTACGGCGGTTTTACGCGGGCTACTTTGTCTGATTCTCGATAAACAGCCAGCCCTGATCACACATTTACAAAAAGCATACGATAAAGCTGGGAAACAGCTCTTTGAGGGTGTCAATGCGTGGTACGCATTATCAAGAATCTTCACCGATATCCTGAAAGATCCGCTCTTACAGCGCACTTATCTAATTATTGATGGACTCGACGAATGCACCCACGGCCTACCCCTACTTCTCGATCTGGTGTCCGAAAATTCATCAGCGAATCCGGACGTCAAATGGATTGTCTCCAGTCGTAACTGGCCGGAGATCGAAGAGTCTCTTGATACTGCGGATCAAAAAGTCAGGCTTTGTCTGGAGTTGAACGAAAACTCCATCTCCGAAGCCGTGATCATCTACATTCACTACAAGGTTCAGATATTGGCGAAGCAGAAGAGGTTTGATGAGGAACTTCTTGAGGCAGTTCGCTACCATTTGTTGACCAACGCACATGGTACTTTTCTCTGGGTGGCATTGGTCTGCGAGGAGCTCAATAAAGGAAAAGCGCGAAACGCCAATAAACTGCTGAATGCCTTTCCAGCAGGGCTGGATCCCCTGTACGAGCGGATGATGGGACATATTCAGGACTCAGAGGATGCAGAAGATGCAGAGCTTTGCAGGAGTATTTTAGCCGTCGTCGCTATTGTGTACCGGCCCATTACTCTTGAAGAACTACCAGCCTTGGTCGAAATACCTGATCATGTCTCCAAGACAGACCAACATTTGGCAGATTTGATTGCGGACTGTGGTTCTTTTCTGAGCCTCCGTGGCCATACAGTCTCCCTTGTTCACCAATCCGCAAAAGAGTTTCTGCTTAAAGATACATCAAACGAGAAGTTTTTCGTTTTCCCCCAGGGCGTCAAAGCCAAACATCAGGAAATATTTTTTCGGTCTCTGCAGGCCATATCCGAGACACTTCGACGCGATATCTACAATATCAAACATCCTGGATTCCCGATTGAACGAGTCAGAGAGCGAAATCCGGATCCATTGGCAATAGCACGATACTCAATTCTCTATTGGGTCGACCACCTGAAGGATTGTGATTCTAGCCCAAAAGCCGACCAGAGCCTCCAAGAAGGTGGCGTCGTGGATAGTTTTCTCCGGCAGAAATATCTCCATTGGATCGAAGCGCTGAGTCTTCTCAGAAGCCTTTCTGAAGGCATAGCGGCGATAGTCAAGCTTGATCGCTTACTCCAGGTAAGCGGTCACATTTACACCGACTGATTTTAATGGCTACTAAGTCGGCGCTATAGGTCAAGAAAGGCGTTTCACAGGCACTTCTGGAGCGAGTCGGTGATGCGTCTCGATTTATCCGATACCATAGGGTGGCAACGGAGAGCAGCCCCCTTCAAGTGTACAGCTCGTCGCTAATTTTTAGCCCAACGCAGAGCATAACTAAAATTTGCTATCAAACGGAGAGACCAGGCTGGCTTGTGAATGAATCAGTGATGGCAGACGATTGGAGTGCATGCCTTCAAACCCTCGAGGGGCATAGCGGGTCTATCTGGTCAGCTGTCTGGTCGCCGGATGGAAGCCGACTCGCATCAGGGTCAGATGATCGGACAGTCAGGATCTGGGACCCGGTCTCTGGCAAGTGCACATCAACCCTCGAGGGGCATAGCGGGTCTATCTGGTCAGTTGCCTGGTCGCCGGATGGAAGCCGACTCGCATCAGGGTCAAATGATCGGACAGTCAGGATCTGGGACCCGGTCTCTGGCAAGTGCACATCAACCCTCGAGGGGCATAGCGGGTCTATCTGGTCAGTTGCCTGGTCGCCGGATGGAAGCCGACTCGTATCAGGGTCACGTGATAACACAGTCAGGATCTGGGACCCGGTCTCTGACAAGTGCATATCAGCCCTCGAGGGGCATAGCGGCTGGGTCCAGTCAGTTGCCTGGTCGCCGGATGGAAGCCGACTTGCATCAGGGTCACGTGATAACACAGTCAGGATCTGGGACCCGGTCACTGGCAAGTGCAAATCAACCCTCGAGGGGCATAGAGAGTACATCAGGTCGATTGCCTGGTCGCCGGATGGAAGCCGACTCGCATCAGGGTCAGGTGATAACACAGTCAGGATCTGGGACCCGGTCACTGGCAAGTGTATATCAGCCCTCGAGGGGCATAGCGGCTGGGTCAAGTCAGTTGCCTGGTCGCCGGATGGAAGCCGACTCGCATCAGGGTCAAATGATCGGACAGTCAGGATCTGGGACCCGGTCTCTGGCAAGTGCACATCAGCCCTCGAGGAGCATAGCGGCTTGGTCGAGTTAGTTGCCTGGTCGCCGGATGGAAGCCGACTCGCATCAGGGTCACGTGATGACACAGTCAGGATCTGGGACCCGGTCTCTGGCAAGTGCATATCAGCCCTCGAGGGGCATAGCGGCTGGGTCCAGTCAGTTGCCTGGTCGCAAGATGGAAGCCGACTCGCATCAGGGTCACATGATGACACAGTCAGGATCTGGGACCCGGTCTCTGGCAAGTGCACATCAGCCCTCGAGGGGCATAGCGGCTGGGTCGAGTTAGTTGCCTGGTCGCCGGATGGAAGCCGACTCGCATCAGGGTCAGGTGATGACACAGTCAGGATCTGGGACCCGGTCTCTGGCAAGTGCAAATCAACCCTCGAGGGGCATAGAGAGTACATCAGGTCGATTGCCTGGTCGCCGGATGGAAGCCGACTCGCATCAGGGTCAGGTGATATCACAGTCAGGATCTGGGACCCGGTCACTGGCAAGTGCAAATCAACCCTCGAGGGGCATAGAGGGTACATCAGGTCGATTGCCTGGTCGCCGGATGGAAGCCGACTCGCATCAGGGTCACGTGATAACACAGTCAGGATCTGGGACCCGGTCTCTGGCAAGTGCAAATCAACCCTCGAGGGGCATAGCGGCTTGGTCGAGTTAGTTGCCTGGTCGCCGGATGGAAGCCGACTCGCATCAGGGTCACGTGATGACACAGTCAGGATCTGGGACCCGGTCACTGGCAAGTGCAAATCAACCCTCGAGGGGCATAGAGGGTACATCAGGTCGATTGCCTGGTCGCCGGATGGAAGCCGACTCGCATCAGGGTCAAATGATCGGACCGTCAGGATCTGGGACCCGGTCACTGGCCAGTGCACATTAACCCTTGCTGCTAATTCTCCTGAGGGTGTTCAATTTGACAAAGTAGATTTGAATCATCTGCATACTAGTGTTGGCACATTCAATCTTGAAAATGTTGTCCCTATGAAGACCTCCCTTGACCGTTCGGCTCCCCTGCCACATCAAACAGGGTACGGCTTGAATGATGACCGCACCTGGATAACCTACAAAGGAGAAAATCTTCTGTGGTTGCCCCCAGAGTGTCGGCCGTTCGTTTTCTCCACATCAACTATATCTTCAAATATGGCAATCGGCTGTTGGTCGGGTCGTGTCTTGATCTTCAATTTCTCCAAGGGAACCCCTGTCATAACCCCACAGACCTCAAAGCGACTCATCAAACCTGGCGGAAATCGTAGGCGCACAATCTTCTCGCGCCTCTTTAGCAGAAATTAGGGCTTTGCCCTATTCAACTGTTGGGGCAGAGCTTTGCTTGTCGATAGTATAAAAATGAAAATTCAGCAAATCAACAAACTCCGTTATCGCAAGTATAAACGGCTTTTCCTCTTGCGGTAATTTAGTTCGATATAATGTCCAGGAATTTGGGTTCTTTGATGTTCACTAAAATACATAGCTTCTGAATGCAGTAGCTATAGTAGTATTCAGAAAGTAGCTCTTATCTAATAAGATTATCAATTGTCAGATTGCAGGAGCCTATGGCAACACTCGCTGGCTTGTATGGAGGTTTCTGAAATTTCTTTTCTTTTTCAAAATAAAGGGGTAACTGGGGCCTGTATTTCGTACCATGTTCCGTACCTTACGACAAGTCGGTTCGAAACAAGGATGAATCGTGGCCTAGCCTAAGCAAGCCTAGTCGGTTGAACCATTGTCTTGGCGGTGGGGCTTGAGATAGTTTCTCTGTGTAAAACGTGGAAGCCAATTTCGAATCCAGCTGTAAGGCATAACGCCAGATCGCCTCTAACGCTACTAACTAGCCATGGGTGTCAATGACCACCCCGGAATGTCGGAAATGACCCAAGGCACTCTGTTTTCGAGATCCAACAACCTCAATGCACCGCTCGAGGAAAGTTTGAAATCCTTGTCCAAGGTCTTCTTCATACCTCACAAAGTTCCGTCTGATATATGCCTTCAACTCAGAGAAAAACTCCTCGATAGGATTCAAGTCGGGTGAGTAAGGTGGTAGATACACGAGCTTTACTCCTGCTTCGATGCACATTTCCTCAATACGATCAGAATGGTGGAAAGATGCGTTATCCATAACTAGAACGGACTTTGGTTCAGGCCATCTCCCACAATGCTGAAGAAGCTGACCAATGAAGTCCTCGAAGACTGCAGCATCCGTGGAGCCCTGGAATACACGAGAGAGCAAAATCCCATCTTGGCAATATGCGGGCAGTATCTGGTACCGCTGGTCACGATGGAAGTTCGTGCCTAACGGAGACCAGCCAGTCCTTCGGAACCCGATTCGCTTATCACACCCAGACTCATCCACGTAGACCAAATGGTACGACTGAAAGTATGACAGGTTATGTATGTAGAAATCTCGTAAATCCGCATTCTGTTCCTTTGCTCTCTGTCGAGCAACCTACTTCGACCAACCCACCGAAGCAAGAGCCCGTTTGAGACTCGAATTTGTGACCTGGATGCGGAACTCGTCCCATAAAAAGATAGCCATCTCGTCCACATATAGCCCGGGCTTTTCGAGGAGGCGATCGCATAATGCTTCTATCATCGGAGGTGTAACGGTCCGTCGTCGACCTACTCGAGTTGGGGGTGCTCTGACATTTCCAAACCGGGAAAGGTTGTTGCTGATGTTGATGATTGAACGCTTACTACATTCAGCAGCTTTGGCCATTTGCGAGGCAGTCAATGATTTGCTCGATATCATGTCCTGGATCATTTCGAGCTTTGAGAGAGGAAGTTTTGGCGCCATGTTGCGAGGAGAAGTCTGGACGTTAATGAGGAGAGCGTTGGCAGAGACAGTGGTCTGGTACCACCGAGGGGGCATAGGGAGCGACTTCGTCTGCTCACCCTTGCTCACCCCTCTGCTCAGTGAGCAGGTAAAATGAATTTGGGTGAAAAGTCTGGGGGATGCTGGCTATTAGGAAATGCACGTGACATGGGCGATCTCGCAGTTCCTGGGAGCTTTGGGGCCCATCTCAAAGCTGCGGACCTCAAAAAAGTGGTTGCTTGGCTGGAAAACCATGCGTTAGTTTCACCATAGCAACAACAAATTGCGATCTCAAAGTATCCATCGTGTACTTGAAAAAGCCGGCAGCAATAAGCTCTCGACGTGATACTGTCAAAGCATGCTTTTCACCCCGCGGGTACCGGGCTGATTATCGCGTGCTACGCTTGAGCTGATTGTTCTGGCTCGGGTCGATCCGGTTCCTGGGAAGGTGCTAGTCCTGCTCCACGGCTCAACGTGGGTAGCGTGCAAACCTGGTCCCCTGTCTTAGCGCCGCGGAGCCGAGTCACCTGATGACGTACCCCTCCTTCAGTTGAGAGCCAGAGAAGAGCTTATAATGAACTACAGACAGACGAATGTATACGATCAGAACGTCAACAAGTCACTCCGGTGTCAACTATGGAGCCCAGGTGGGAATCAATTATGGCACATTCACAGCAGACTTCCATCTGCCACCGGGTAAGTCAGAAACGGAACCGAACATGTCAAGGCCCACTGACTAAATACCGATTCCCTCTAGAGCGAGTAGAAACTCCGCCCAGCCCTTTGTCAACTGTGCCATTCACGCGCGATCCAGATTTTGTTCATCGCGAGACACTACTTGATCAAATCTATAGTAAGAACTCGGTCGCGGGGTCGAGGATAGCGCTTATCAGCCTCGGCGATATTAGGTAAGACTATCACGGCTCTTACATGGTCTATTGCTGACAATTCAAAGAAAATCGCAACTTGCGATCGAATACTCCTACCAAGTTCGATCCAAATCACCGGTGATATAGGTTATCTAGGTCCATACAAGTAATGAAGCCTGATTTGAGCAAAGTTTCCGGGACATCGCGGACCAGGTTAAAATCCCAGGTCGTCAAGATGCCAAAGTCAACATATTCAAACTAGTCGAAAACTAGCTCCAGGATGAAAAGATAGGAAACTGGATTTGTATCCTTGATAATATTAATGACGATCAGCTTCTTTGCCCGGTTCCGGTAGCAGGCAAGGAAGATCCGATAAGTGGCGTAACGAACACCTCGACAAAGCCACTCTTGGAATACATTCCTAGAAGCTAAAATAGATCTATCATCATTACGAGCCGGACTAGAGAGGTTGTGTTGAAGATGGTCTATTATAGCGACCTTATTGAGATCAAACCTATAGAAAAGTCCGAAGCGCTAGAACTTCTCTAAAGAAAGCTTGAACAACTAGAAGAGAGCTAAGAGAGTCGACAGTTAGTAAATATATTAGAGTCCATGCCGCTAGCAATCGTACAGGCCGCTAGCTATATCCGAAATCGGGCGCCTCGATCTTTAGTATCACAATACTTAAAAGATTTCCTCGAGAGTGACCGTAAAGCAACAAGGCTTTTGAAAAAAGAGACAGGTCACCTCTACCGGGACTAGGAAGCTAAGAATTCAATTCTGGTAACATGGCAAATATCATTTGATTATATATGCCAAACAAAGCCGTCAGCAGCACAGTTGCTTTCTCTCATGAGCTTTTTCGATCGGCAAGGAATACCAGAGAACCTTGTCCAGCACCAGCCCAAGACCAACTACATATCAAGTTCAGAACTTCCAAGTAACTCCAGCAACGGGGAGACATCTAAATCTGATTCAGGTCCTGATTTTGAAGATGACGTCGCAACACTTAGAGACTATTCATTCATATTCGTTATTGCAAACAGCTCTCTCTTTACGATGCATCAGCTAGTGCAACTAACGACGCGCGCGTGGTTGAAAACTCATAGACAAATAGATCGATAGAAGGGTGAATTCATTAGCACCCTCTGCGACGAGTTTCCCACTGGTCAATACGAAAATTGGGAGAGGTACAGGCCGCTATTTCCTCATGTTAAATCCGCAATGTCACAAAAACCAGCATCTACTAAGTATCTACTGAAATAGGCTATACTGCTTAGTAGAGAAGCAGGATATACGTCGCAGAGTAGGAACCTCACAGATACGAAAGAAATGGCATTTAAATCAAGAAAGACTAGAATGATATTGTTAGGCAATGAACACAAAGAAACCATTAATAGCACAAGCATATTAGCAACGGCATACTGGCATAAGAGCCGATGAAAGGAGGCCGAGAAGCTCGACGTACAGGTGATAAAGACTCGCAAGACCCAGCTTGGCGAGGACCACCCCTCCACGCTGACTAGTGTGGCCAATCTGGCATCGACATACAGGAGCTAGGGCCGGTGGAAGGAGGCCGAGCAGCTCGAGGTGCAGGTGATAAAGATAAGCAAGACGAAGCTCGACGAGGACCATCCCTCCACGCTAACTAGTATGGCCAATCTAGCAGCGACGTACAGGAGGCAGGGCCGATGGAAGGAGGCTGAGAAGCTTGAGGTGCAGGTGATGAAGATGAGCAAGACGAAGCTCGACGAGGACCATCCCTCCACGCTGACCAGTATGGCCAACCTGGCGTCGACATTTTGGAACCAGGGCCAGTGGAAAGAGGCCGAGCAGCTCGAGGTGCAGGTGATGAAGATAAGCAAGACGAAGCTCGGCGACGACCATCCCTCCACGCTGACCAGTATGGCCAACCTAGCGTCGACGTATAGGAACCAGGGCCGGTGGGACGAGGCCGAGCGGCTCGAGGTGCAGGTGATCAAGATGAGCAAGACGAAGCTCGGCGACGACCATCCCTCCACGCTGACCAGTATGGCCAACCTAGCGTCGACGTATAGGAACCAGGGCCGGTGGGACGAGGCCGAGCGGCTCGAGGTGCAGGTGATGAAGACTCGCAAGACAAAGCTCGGCGAAGACCATCCCGACACGCTGGCCAGTATGGCTTCTCTCGCTTTTACCTGGAAATCTTTAGCGCACGACGCAGAAGCGATCGACTTGCTGCGAGATTGCTTAACTAGGCAGAAGCAAACACTCGGCCTGGATCATCAGACTACTTTATCCACTTTTGAAACATTCTCGCAGTGGCAAATGGAATCGATACTGGAAGCTGAAGGGGATTGGGAAAGCGATGAAGAATAGGAACAAAGGAGTTGGACATCGATGCGTAGATAACATGCTCGGGGGTCTTTCGGTTCACATTGCATCTTGAGCTTCATGTGTACTTCCCAAAAAGATGTTCCGTCACAGAATGACTCAGTGCGCATATATAGAAATAGATTAGCCCCATTGATCATTGCTCTATCAAAGATTAGGCATCAAAGTATTAAGACAAATGGAAGGAATGTCAACCAGCTCCGCCAAATGTTAGTATTCTTGGTACGAGTCTTACAAATACGGTAGTTTATAATACAACACGTTATATTGGCTTTCAGTACGATTCAATACTTGAAACTGAGCTAAGTCCGAAACGGATTAGCGTGTTTCTGATTTGGGTTCGAGATAGAATCTCCGTGTGCAAGTGGTGAAACTAATTTCGATCCTCCCTGTACAGAGCGGTGCTCTAAAAGGGCTTAGCGTGTATCGGGTATATTTTCCGGCAATCAAGTTGAAAGAGTGCAGAGGTATAACTGATTTCGAATATCACTATAGGATAAAAATACTAACCATCAGGTTAAATGCTGCTGCGTTTTTCCATCGCCAATTGGAAACCGTATCTCTTGTCTACTGGCTCATAACTGCGCATATATATCATGGCCACGCCATCATGATCATAATTATTTTTTTTTGTGTTATTTTTTTACTTCAAACCTGTAAGATTGGCTCATATCTTCTCGTTTTTTGTTGACAGCAGTGAAAGTCAGATTATTACATTTTGATGGCATTCTGTGTGCCTGTGGTTGAAAAGACGAAGAAGATTGAGAGGACAGAGACGACAGGGGACAGAGAGGACAGAGAGGACAAAGCTTTGGGCCGTCGCTGAACTTCCAAGTCTCTGCCATATCATAGTAATGCATTGCGAAAAGAGGTGATTTTGGAAAATCTGAATTGAAATTGATGTGATAATATTATTGAATCTCATACAGAATGGGGGATTTCGAGGGGAACATCTGCTTTAAAATAACAGGCCTAAGTCGGCCAAGCGCATGGGCACGGACCTACTGTAATAACACTGCAAAGAGTAGCGGTGTACGGGTTCGACGGCCGATTTATAGTATAACATTGCCTGGTTCGATGATATCCTCATAATTCCACTAGTGGAATATCTTCTTATAAGCACTTCAATTTGTGTACGAGGCAGATTGCTGTCGGTACTGCTCTAAAAGACCTTCAATTTGATTTAATTCGGTTTTGAACCAATTGATGAGGCGTAGGTCACTTGACACGTAGATTGAACTCGCCACCAGGTTTTATTGGCCTTTCATGTTTCTTATGGCAAAGTATTGCGATGAGCAGGCACAGGAGATTGGAATCGTGTCACCCGAGAATGCTCCATCTTGCCAGCGTCCTAAAACATCCAAAGCCTAGTATCAACAGAATTGAAGTTTGCAGGGCAAATTGATAAAGACTGCCTCGAAATGGATATATCAAGCTTGGTTAGAAGTTGGTTCGGAGCTCAGTAGAGCCATTTGGAATACGCATATGGCCAGTGTCCTTTCAATATTCTCACTGATACAAACCACTACTATGTATGTGGAGTCACAGAATAGTAGAAATAATACTCGGCTTTCTATGACCCAAAATTGCTTTGCTAATTCTTGCCTAATCGGGCAAATGATATATCTCGAATCCGCAATGCTGGGGGTAGTTACGTAGTATGCCCAAGTACCATTAGTCTTCAAGGACTGCGAGGTCAGCCTCTTCAGATATTTTGCATGTCCATACTTTGATACTCATCCACAACGCTTATATTTGAGAAATCCCTCCTGTCGTACAAAGAGACAACATCGCAAAAGGTAGGTAATATCTCACGTCTCTCGTGTCACCTTTCGCTTTGAAATACCGAAATTATGAGATTGCTAACCACTCACCTAACTCTGTGTTAGTTCTTTGGTTGTCCGTCAGAGATTCCGTTGCCATCGTTGATAACAAAAATATCTGCTACAAATGGCTCAAGGCAATCGCATGAGAGCAGTCCCACGCCGATCCACGTCCCTACTGTCATCATCCCCCATTTTCTCTATTGCATCACTACTCGACTCATGGGAAAACAAATGCCGGCAAATCTTTGGACTATCTATATCTGGGCTCAGGATGTGACTTTAAGATGATGGAGCTGCGAAAATTATGATTCATGGAAACACTTATCTCTCGACAAGACTAATTCAAATCATTGGTGCAGTGAAATTTCGGGAAACGCGGAATTAGTAGTATCGTGGGTTTTTGTGATCTCCCTTAGAAGATATTCATCCGCACATTGTGTTACTGTTCGGTTCCTGACATCCCTGACATTCAAGTCTGCTCCTTCGCTAAGAAGATAATGAATGACATCGATCTTGCGAAGGAATACTGCCTTGTGGAGAGGAGTTTCTCCCATAAAAAGTTCATATTCCAGGAAGGCTGGTGATCTCGATACATGATGGCGTTGATTGGAGCGCCCCGAGCAATGAGGAGCTTCAGGACAGCTACCGTATCGGACTCGCGAGCGACTGCATGGTGTAAAACCTGCCCTTTTGTGACGTCGCCACCACGACTTAGCAGAAGATTGACGATCGGCAAAGAGGCGTGTTCGACTGCGTGAGAGAGCGGCGTGAAATCGATGTCACATCGACAATTTGGGTCGGCCCCATGTTCAAGAAGCCAAGTTGTCATTTCGAGATTGTCGAGGGCATTACTGGCAAGAAATTGGGCGTCACTTGGATGCAAATCTAGACACGGGCATTTCGACTCACCTGAGAATCGGAGGATGCATTGGGCCCATAGGCTGGTTGATATCCCATCCATTTTCTAGGAAGCTTCCCAAGATTCCCTTCGCATGCGCCTTGGTAGCTTCATAGACATATACTGGTAGTATAGGTAGTCCGTGCCGGAGCAGCTCTTTCACAAAACACGTTCTTCCTGTCTTGATAACTTGAACCATTATCCCTGACAGATCAAATATGGTGGAGTGATGGGGGCTTAGACCGATGAAGCTGCTATCCAAAGTCTTTTTAAATCTTTGAAAGTCGCCTTGAGAACAAAACTGTCTCAATTCCTCGAGAATTTGAACGGGTGTAAGTGGAGAAGGCGGGGGATTTTGACTCTCAGCTATTGGGTAATTTTCACTGGCAGAATAGGTAATCATCGTGGGGATTGAGCAAATAAAATTTAAGGCTATCAAGATGATAATGGTTTGGTATATGGGGAAGAAGGGGTAATCTACGGAGAGGAGAGACGACTCCCCCATCTGCACACCGCTTTACTTCATCACCTGCTACCGGCCAGCCAACCATCGCCAAGGGACACAGGCCGCGACTCCACATCTAGTAAAGCGTCAAGCTGGAAATCATACGCTTCAGCACGCCACCTTGGATGGGGGCGCAAAGCACCTACGACGGCAGATGATCGTTTCAATTCGAAACTCCATTTATTCACCCTCGGAAATGTTTATACATGTAATCAAAAAAGTGAGAATATGGATAAGCTTTTCATATTAAGAACGAATCCTCGCAACATTTGTCCAATTCAATCCATTCTATATTTACGAGGTATTGGCACCCCAAAAGAAATAAGATATTTCATTGGATATTGAGACTTCCCGATGATGAGGGGCCCTCTAATAGGTACATACGGTAGCCCCTTGGGCTCTTTTTGTTCCCATAGGTATTTGCCAAACGACGTCAATTCACCACCCGGTCCTGTACATATATTTTCGGTTGGGGATATTCGGGCTTTTTAATGATCATCACTACCCCATTATCGCGAGTTGATGGATTTGTTGGTACACTGTAAGATATTGCGCGCGGTTGGAGTTGTACTTGATTCAATGTTCCCGTCATGATAGCCAGCTGATCCGGTAAGGCTACCTCGCCTCGAAATTCTGCACAGATAACCACTGTCTCAGCAGAAGGAAAAAAGTCTCTTTTCTTTTCCTGGTAAAGGGCGACAACTCGATTCATGGTAGATTGGACATTGGCGTCACCAGCAAAGGGGTTCTGTGTTGATACTGGCAGTGGCGCAATGTGGGCGAGTATCACACCGTGTGGTGATGCAATGACAACCGCAGAACATGAACCAAGACCGGCGGTCGCGAGAGCAGCCTTCTGTCTAAAATCAAGGAACTGGATGCCGCCCATTGGGACAGTTTGAACAGCACCAGCCCGTTGCCATAACTCGAAGTTTCCGGGTTCGAATGTAGACATTATGGTTCCAGTGTTGATTTGATATGAGAGAGGCTTAGATTGCCGGACTGAAAATTAATCTGTAAGGAGCGCTGTAGTGTGCAAAAACCAGAGACTGGTAAGCTATGATGGCAGGGAGAGGGAATGGATATGGTTGAAATTTTAATCCAAGGAGGGGGCTGGCTCTACTTAACTAGTTAGTGCATCTCTTTGTTCTAAAATGAGGCCTGGTCTATCAGGTAGAAGCCCAATGCAAAATTACAAGTCTGGACGACTACCTAGACGTATCTGTATTAATTGTGTTTGATAGCCAGATAAACTTACTACATTTGCATAGAACATCCCCGGGAGGAACATAAGTGGGCCTGCGCGGGCCAACAGCTGAGTAGTCTAATTCTAAGATCAAATTACTACCGCAGGGTGCCATTAACTGTCATATGTTCTAGAAAACGCTTTGGCCCTCAAAGGGTGCATAGCTAAGCGCCGGCATGCATCAATCATCCTTTTGAGGGAGACTGATCATTCAGACCCATACATGTAAATACACTTTTTCTTCATTAGTAAGTAATGGCAAACAGTAAGCTCAACGCAATTTCTAAAACTTGAGTACGGCTTACGGCTGAATGACATCTAGCAAATCCTGCCCCACTTGTTTCTATCTTACCCACGAAGCGCGCAATCTCAAATCTGGCTATTTGTGTTTTTAAGAACATTGTTCGCATAATTTTCGCACAATTGGCGATGGTCAAGGACTTTCCATGCTGATTTTTCTGCGGCAGAAAGGTGGAGCTTGGAATTTCCATTTGAGGAATTCACTTCTAATGAGAAGGGCAAAGGTCCTCCCAGGAACAGGTCGGTAGGCAGTGCCAAAAAGGGCGGCGCAGTCTCCGTCACCAACTTTGGTCATTAATATTTCTTAATTAAATATTCCGGCGTATACTTAAAGAATCAGCTCATGAGCCATCACACGAAAACACGCAAAGGATTACAACCTCCCATTGGTTCTCAGGTTCGTGCGTTATATCTTAACAAATTATCCCCTGACAGAGCCGTTTCGACGTCGCTGCGTTGCCGGTCCAGTCAATGGCTTTACGGAAACCAGAATTGGACGGTTAACAGGCAACTGAAATTCGTAAATACGTTTCAGCTTCTATCTCATGTAGATAGGTATCATGCGCAATCTCCCGCTGACCTCTGTATACTCGAATACGACTATAGGACTGGCTGGGTAGTCGAGAACAGCGGTGACCAGGGGGTTGCCGTCGCTTACCACACCGACTTGTGTGTTAGGAGATTGGGAGCATCGGAGGGTCACGCCCACGTATCTTTGTCGAGGGTAAATGCGGACATGGTATGGGTTAAACGAGTACAAATTAGGGAATGGCTATTGTGGTCGAGAGTAAGATTTCATCATGGCTGGAGGGCGGAAAAGTAAATTTTGCGCACAGAAGGCCGGTAATTAAAAAGGTTTATTAGCCAGATTGCATTGGCGAAAGAGGGGAGGTATGATTCGACGCGTTGAGTAACCTGTTCAATTAATTTCTATACATAGTTATCTTTTTAAAGTTATCCAATCGGTCTGGCCCCACAATCTGGTTTATTTGGTCCTAATGACAGATATCTTAACGAGACAAGTAACTACAAACAACTGTTTACTTCAAACCTCGGCTAAGCAGGTTGTTCATTCATCGGATCTACACTCCGTTCTCCCTGCTATCACTTTAATTGCCTGTTCATTTCTATAGTTCAGTTCTCTCAACTAGTTGCTTCATACAATTAAACTTCAATTTATGACCAGCTCATGCTAGCTGAACATTACAAGATATAATCATGAAGAGATCTAAACAATGCCAAAAAATCGCACATTTTTCTAACATCGTGTTACCCGAACTACCAGAAGTGATGCCTTCAATGATCTGTTCGTTCCGATAAGAAAGGGCCGTCAATAAAAAAACAATTTGCGGGGCAGATGGCGTCCGGTGGAGGCGGCCATGTTTACCTACGCGTCGCTCACGTGTGCATATGCTATATCACGTGATCTGGTGTTTGACTTTATGTGATCCCCTGCGCTTGTCGGGGCTCAACGGACAATGGAGGCCTCGGGCATCACTTGCTACGATGAACAGGATGGTTCACTAAGCGAAGGCCTTGGCATTTATTATATAATTGCTACTTATATACACCGTGCCTTGGGCATCCAATAAGAAAAACCATCTGGTCCCCTTAGTATCTCATTTTTTAGTCGCGAGCTTTCTGGTTCCCGGCCTCGGCCTATCAGCACTAGACCTCGCCAAAAACATGGGCATTTGACTCAGCGAAAAAACGAGGGCGGATCTACGATTTGAGGGCGGCCCGCATATGTTGAGGGTTTATTGCGGGTTTATTGAGGGCGGCCCGCATAAGTCAAGAGCTGATTCGAGGGCCACCCTCAACCAGCCCTCGGAATTGAACCAATCAGGATAGGATACCTATAATAAATAGGTGTTAATGTGATACATTACATTGGTAGAGGGAGCAGGCCCAATTTGAAAGGAACTTGAATGTGTTTGTTAGCACAGGTGGACTTTTTAATACGAAGTAGGTCTCCTCCAACCCTCCAAGTCTTATCTATCTTCTAGATCTACGCAGTACAAAGGATCATTCAGTTAACAATGTCCCAGTTGTCTCTATTCTCGGATGCATATCCATCGTCTCTTTACGAAGGGGATACAATTGACGGTCTCTCCTTTCCGAACGACCATTTCCACACTCCTGATCTCTCAGGAAGCCAGCAAACAAGTGAATCAGTATCGAATCCCGGGTTTCTTACGCCAATTCCTCTCCCTTCGGTTCCTCCTTCACTCGAGCGTGTTGGTCCTGGTCGATCTATCGAATTCGTTCTATACTCTGATATGTCAAAGGATGAATTTGTTGCTTGGTGGTTAGAAACTGAGTTTGGACGCAAGAAACGGCTTCATTGGAGTGGTAACCGTACAGCAGCTTGCTGGCAGCACTTTGATCAAGTTGCCAATGCAAAGACTGGAAAACCAGGCGCGAAATGCCGTCAATGCCATAAAGTCCTAGACCATCCAGCGAATGGGCGATATGGAACGACTGCACTTCATCGGCATTTAGCTGGACCAACCTGTCGTAAATCTACCAGCCAAAAGACCAATATTAAGGGTTTGCTTATAAATGCGGTATGTTTAAACCAGGGTTTCGAGGTTTTATTGGAGGGATTTACTAATCAGTCTCTTCATTGAAAGGCACAAAACACACCGGCTACCTCGACGGCCTTTACGCAAGAAGCATGGGAACATAAACTGTTAAAACTACTTTCCCTTCACGCCTCCCCTTCCGATTTATCGAGCATGCCGACTTTCGTGACGTTATCGCATATGCCAGGCTTGCCCCAACACAACCCCAGATTCCATCTGCGAAAACAATGCGGTCTCGACTACGGGGGTACGTCCAAGAGCAACAACAGTCTATACTAAAGCAGCTTCCACCTAGCGTAAAGCTTTCGCTTGCATTAGATTGCTGGACATCTCCATTTGGACAGGCCTTTATGGCAGTCACTGGCTACTTTCTTGATCGACACTGGGAATACCGTGAGATCCTTCTTGGATTCGAACCTTTATCTGGTTCACACTCAGGAGTTAACCTAAGTGAGGTGGTATTAAAGCTCCTTCAGCAGCATGAAATCACAGATCGGGTACTTGCAGTGACAACCGATAATGCCACGAACAACAAGACTATGATATCGAGTATCCAAGAATCATTACAGTCCCTTGAACTAAACGATAGTTCAACAATAGTTCGAGTTCCTTGCATTGCCCATGTGATTCAGCTTAGTCTGAATGATCTTCTTGGAAAGATGAAGGCAACTCCAAAGAATGAGCACGCAGAGATGAATTGGTCAGAAGATCGTGTCCGTTCTCTTCGCGCAAGGCAACAGAAACGAGAGATTATCGATGCACTGAAT